CAATGGAGTATCTAGGTGACATTAGGGTTTTGATTGATTTGTATCTTAAGGTGTTATTCTAGTATGAACTCTATGATAGATTGAACCGAAAGAATAGCTTTATGTTATTTTACTACGGACTCTTGAATAGATAGATAAAAAAGGATAACTTTGAGGTGGTTTCGTACCCTACCATAATCTCTTTGTTTGTTCTCCACTATTAGTGGCTTTGGAGTGACTCTTTGTTACATGTTGAGGGATAGTTATATGATCTAATTATGTTATTATTGTTGAGAGAACTTGCACTAGTGAAAGTATGAACCTTAGGTCTTGTTTCCTACCATTGCAATACCGTTTATGCTCACTTTTATCGCTTGCTACCTGGCTGTTTTTATAATTTCAGATTACAAATACCTTTATCTACCATCCACATTGCACTTGTGTCACCATCTCTTCGCCGAACTAGTGCACCTATGCAAATTACCATTGTATTGGGTGTGTTGGGGACACAAGAGACTCTTTGTTATTTGGTTGCAGGGTTGTTTGAGAGAGACCATTTTCATCCTAAGCCTCCCACGGATTGATAAACCTTAGGTCATCCACTTGAGGGAAATTTGCTACTGTCCTACAAACCTCTGCACTTGGAGGCCCAACAACATCTACAATAAGAAGGTTGTGTAGTATACATCAGCCGCACATTTGGGCACACCCTCAGGTGATGCTCAAGTATCCCCCTCGGGACCCCAGCCAGGTGTTTGGGTTCCCAAGAAAATACATCCTTGTTGGCTCGCAGAAAGCTGATCAACGCTTCCTCTTGGTCCTGAGGGAGACCAGCCCCTATAGTGAATGAGGCACTGGCTGTCCCATCTTTGCAGACTGGTACTTGCTTCGTCTTGGCTCGGTCTTGAGAGAACAACTGCTTCTTCTTGGCCGGCGCTGCTTCTGGGGCCTCCTGACCCTTCTCCTCGCCGGGCAGTGCGGACGCGGCCGTCCTAAAGGCGAGCTTGAGGGCTTGCAGCGTGCCTTTGGTGTCCCCCGTCACCGTGAGGACACCGTTGCTGCCAGGCATCTTCATGAGGTTGTACGCTGGGTGGGTCGCAGCCATAAACTGAGCCAAGGCCGGGTACCCCAGGATGGCATTGTACGGTAGGTCAATCTTGGCGATGTCGAAGTCGACGAGCTCGGTGCGGTAGTTATCGTCCGTCCCGAAGGTAACAGGGGGACAGATCTGCCCAGAGGCCTGGTGGAGCCGCCGCCAACCCCGGAGAAAGGCTTGGAGGGACAGAGCCGGTTGGGTGGCACATGGAGCAGGCCGAACGCCTCCGGGGAGAGCATGTTGAGGCCGGCCCCGTCGTCGATGAGGGTCCTGGTGATCGCCACGTGGCATATGGTGGGGGTGCAGAGCATCGGGAGCGCGCCCGCTCCTGTCGTGGTGTCGGGATGATCTCCTGGTCTGAAGGTGAGGTCGGCTTGGGGCGCCGCCCAGCCCGGGGGAGCCCCCGAGCCCGCCTGAGTGGTGCATGCATGCTTGCAGAACTGCTTGACGTGGCGATCAGATGGTGGTGCCTGCGAGCCACCTAGGAGAGCTGCGACGGCCGGGGGTGCCGGTACCCCGTAGTGGACGAGGAAGAGGTCGCGCAGCTTCTCCCAGGAGGCCACAGAAGATGCCGGCAGGTTGAGGAACCAGGTGCGCAACACACTAGTGAGGGCCATGGGGAGCCAGTTGGCCTTTACCTTGTCGTCTCCGCCGGCCGCCAAGACTACCTCCTCGTAGGCTTGAAGGAAGGGGACCGGATCTGCCGCGGCGTCATAGCACGGCGGCATCTCCGGTCGGAACTTGTGCGGCCATCGCACTTGCCAAAGGGAGGGGGTGAAGCAGCGCAGCCCCGGCGCTTCTTCGGGAACACCCGTTGATCGAGGCGACGGAGGAGCGGCCGCCATAGGAGTCAGTGGCATGATCTAGAGGTCGAGGAAGAAGATTCCGACGCACCCCTACCTGGCGCGCCAAATGTAAGATTTCGGGATCCGGCAACCCGTGAGAGGTTCGAACTCTGGGGTGCGTGCGGAGATCTCAACCTGTCCAGCCTGCCTACTCGCGATCTCACTAGGCCTAACACGTCGAGCTCAAAGAGACACAAAGACATAGAGATTTATACTGGTTGAGGCCACCATTGTGGTGTAATACCCTACTCCAGTGTGGTGTGGTGGATTGGCTCGGTGGGCTATGGATGAACAAGTACAGTGGAAGAACAAGCCTCTGGAGGAGAGGTGTTCTTGAGCTGGTGTGGGGAGAGCTAGTTCGATCTCAGATCCCCCTTCTATGGTGGTGGCTAGGTCCTATTTATAGTGGCCTTGGTCCTCTTCCAAATATGAGCAGGAAGGGATTCCACAATGGCTGGATTTGAAAGGGGACAAGTAGTACATCCTATCCTGACGAAAGTAGTCTTCGCCTGTGAAAAGCCTCTGGTCGTGACGCTGCGGTGGGCTCGCTAATGACCTCCGTCCTGCCGTCCTGGCGGTCTTGGTCTCATTGCACCGAAATGGCAACCTTTGGCTGATTCCTCGGGACTCCATGCCTGTGGCATGCCTCCCTCGCACCGAAGAGGAAACCTGTGCTTGTGCGCCCGCCTGGCACCCGTCTGGCCTTGGTCTTCATGGCTCACGTCAGCTGAGCCTCATGAGGTATCTTGCATAGAACTCTCCGCCCCTCAGGAGCCCTCCTGAGGAGGCTGCTTCCTTCGGGGATCTTGGCATCGTCCGCCTCGCGAGGCTTGGCCCCTCGCGAGGGTCTTGTAGTGTTGGTGCTGAAGCTAGGCCGTACCAGGCCGTCGATGGAGCCACGTGGTGGGCCGCAGGCAGGCAGGGCTGGATACCCCCATATCCAGGACGCCGACAGCTGCTTTCGGCACCCATCAGCCCCCAACTCCTCTCATGCCTTCTCTCAGGCTGCATTGACGACCATCACCACGACCCACTCCTCCTTGCCATCTCCTCTGTCCCCTTCCAAGTCATCCCGAGTTACATTCATGGCAGTCTAGAAAAAATAAACGAATTCCATACTCAAAAAATCATTCTTAAAGATAATTTTTTTGCAAAGCACAATAAGTGTTATTTTTTCAAAAGTTTTGGGTGCAGGTTGAACACTTGAACTCTTTTGTTTGCAAAATATTTTTTTATCTATTTTGTCTACATTTACTGTTCACCCGGATGCTTGTGAGCTCTAGAGAAGAAATAATATCCGAAGAAACCTATCGATATTTGTTACACATGAGATTATACCCACATACTTTGTCAAATAAACAACTCCCGGATCAATGCATTTCAGTGTTTCATGCAACGCACAGACATGTTACTAGTTATCCCTGAAGTCAATGAGAATTTTGGCTCCACTGAAGTCCTATAAGAGTATATACTATGATCTTCCTCTTATTTCCCGTGAGGTGTTCAAATGTTGACAATAATTTGATAAAGTTCCGCCTCCGCCGGGCACCCCTCAAATGTTGCGCTGCACATCCACATACCGCAAATTCCGATCATCAAATCCATGCACGTCGATCATACGATACAAACTGTCCGAATGCCAAAGTTCGAAACAAAGCAAATCAAATCATAGTTCATCCGCGCCCGAACGAGCTACAACGAGTCACACACGTCGATCACCGGCATCTGTATGGGCGGAAAGCTCTCCGGAATGGCCCAGTCGGCGCTCGGATCATCCTGTGTCCCAAAGGGGGCGGACAGCATAATCCGCGTAGGCGCTCGGATGGAAAGGGTGCGGGGATCCGGGGGCGGCAGAGGAGACAACTGCTCCACCACGCCCGAACCTCCCTGCAATGCCTCCGCCGCCTCCCTATCTCGCTGCCGGCGTCATCGCAACTTGCGGGCGATGTTCTCCGCCTTGCAAGTCGCCGCCACGACATCGCGCCTCCCGTAGATGAGGCAGACCATGTCTCCATCGCGAAGGTGTGGCTTGGGCTGGACGACATCTCCGGCGGTGGATCGGGACCGGAGGTGAGGATTGGGAGCAAAGGTGGAGGCCGGCGAGGGTCCGGGCGCGGGAATGGTTGGAGGGCGGCGGGAGGAGGAGGAAGGGTTTGGTGGATTTGATGCAATTTGGAGTGGAGTCGGGCTGTTTGGTCCGACGTGGCGGGCACACCCATATCCGCGCCATATTTGTGCTGGACATGGGGGGTGCCAGTCAGCCCGGATATTTGAGGGCCGTTTGAGAGGCCCGACTGGGTCAAAAATCGTGAGGCGGTAGTGATCGGGCGGCCTTCCCGGACGTTTGAGACGGGTTTGAGGGGTCCGGTTGTAGATGCTCTTAGTGACCATAAGTACAACATAACCTTGAAGATAGACATCTATTCTTCGTGAGGCATGTTTGTGAAGACAATTCAACATCCCAAAGGCAAGGGTTCTTCAAACAGTTGTAGCCTGTGATATTGAACAGGGCCGGCAAAAAAATACAGGTGAATTAAGCTCTTTCTAGCTGCCATGCCAAGGGGATGCATGCCATGCCATCTATACTTAGAGAGCTTCTGGTGCCTTTCTCACCGGTGCTGTGTCTTGTTCTGTACGTGTGCCTGAACTGAATGCGCGAAGTGCATAGGTTGTACTTACTCTGCAAAAGGTCCAATGGAGGAGATGAGAACAGTGCTGGAAAGGCCATTACCGGCTCCCTCAAACTCGTCAAGATAACATTATCAGATTATTACGATAGCAACTTAATTTCTCATCATCCCGTTGCATATGTGCAGTATGCTTCTATATATACCTAAGCAATCCTCTTAACTCAATCAAGCCAACACAGAGTAGCTTGTTATTGACCGTGCCATCTCTACTGCGAGTGTGATCGAGCTAGTGATCAAACGCGAGAAGATGGCGTTGCACTGGAGCGGCGGCCTCGCTGTCGCGGTCGCGGCGGCGCTGGCGTGTCCGCGCTCTTCCCGGCGGGCGCTGCGGGTCACCCGCCGCTCCCAGGCCCGTTGGTCCCGCAGTTCTACGAGCACACGTGCCCGCAGATGCAGGCGTTGGTGGGCGCCATCGTGGCCAAGGAGCACGCCAAGGACCCCCGCATGGCGGCGTCCCTGCTCCGGCTGCACTTCCACGACTGCTTCGTGCAGGGCTGCGACGCGTCGGTGCTGCTCGACGCCGACGGCAGCGGCAGGTTCACCACCGAGAAGCGGTCCAACCCGAACCGCGACTCGCTGAGGGGCTACGAGGTCATCGATGAGATCAAGGCCGCCCTCGAGCACGCCTGCCCCCACACCGTCTCCTGCGCCGACATCGCCGCCGTCGCCGCCAGGGACTCCACCGTGCTGGTATGCAGCAATCCAACGCACTAGCAACACAATGTTTTGTGAGCATTGTTTTCTTTCTCAAAAACAGATACTGATTTGCCTTGATGAACTTTACCCGGCCGGTGGAGCAGACGGGCGGGCCGGGCTGGGAGGTGCCACTGGGGAGGAGGGACTCGCTGACCGCCAGCGTGAGCGGCTCCAACAACCTCATCCCTGCTCCCAACGACACCCTCCCCACCATCACCGCCAAGTTCCGCAACCAGGGTCTCGACGTCGTCGACCTCGTCGCGCTCTCAGGTATACACGCATGTCGCAGGTGTTTGATTTGATGGCCATTCCGCATGGGCATGTAAGTAACATGTGGTGTATGCAATGAACAATCCAGGAGCACACACCATTGGCGACTCGCGCTGCGTGAGCTTCCGGCAGCGGCTCTACAGCCAGAACAACGACGGGCGCCCGGACCCGACGCTGAACCCGGCCTACGCCGCCAAGCTCCGCGGGCGGTGCCCCCGGTCCGGCGGCGACCAGATCCTGTTCGCCCTGGACCCCGCCACCCAGTTCCGGTTCGACAACCAGTACTACAAGAACATCCTCGCCATGAACGGCCTGCTCAACTCCGACGAGGTCCTGCTCACGCAGAGCCACGAGACCATGGAGCTCGTCAAGAGCTACGCCGCCAGCAACGAGCTCTTCTTCGACCACTTCGCCAAGTCCATGGTCAAGATGGGCAACATCTCGCCGCTCACCGGGCACAACGGCGAGATCAGGAAGAACTGCAGGAGGGTCAACCACTTCTAAACAGACCGAGGGACTGTTCGGAGCCGGTGATTTCGTCGTGCTTCAAGCTCCTTGATTTGCAATGTTTCTTTCAAGTACTGTTTTTTTGAAAAGATTCTTTCAAGTACTGTATGTGTGTGATTATTGCATTTCCTTATTCGTGTTGCACCGTAAAATGGTTGCGATCGTGTTTGTTCCCCTTCTTGCACTGCTTGTTGATATTCATCTGTGCGACGTGCTGAACTTGTACCAAGAAATGATCCAATAAAGTGCTTACGAGTTGTCCCTGTCACTTCTTCAACTGGATATCTCTGTTCCACATTCTACAATATATATGTCTCGTTGTCCTCAACAAGTCGTACTCTTTTCGTATTCAAATTCCACATTCTATAAAAATATCATACGCATTCACGTACTCTAAAAAAACATTCTACAATATATACGCCATCTGTCTTTAAGATATACTCCCTCCGTTTCTAATTATATGACGGCGAAGCACATTGACTATCGACGTACGACCTCGAGGCTATTTTTCTCTCGTACCTGGCGGCTGCAACCCTAGCCGCCGCCAGGGGTCGATCTTCCAACGCCGTTCTCCGGCGGCTCCCCTCCGCCGGCGACTTCGGTCGTCGGTGGTGAGGGGGTCGCCGGATTCATGCGTGTGGATCGTTTTTACTCATCCGTAGTCTAGGTTTTTAGGTTGTTCATCGTCTTTGCTTCGGCGGCGACGATGACGACGCTGAATAAATATTCTTCGGATCCTTTCTTGATGAGGCCATCGGTCCTATGGTTGGGGATGGATCTGGAAACCAGTCTGTTCAAGCAATGATGGCGTGGCGGCGGCGGCATCCTCGTGGTGGACCTGTGTCCTCGGGTTTCGTCGTTGCGACGACGTTTGCTCCAGCGTCGGCGTGGAGCTTGGGAGGTAGTCCAGGAGCGGATGCAGATTGTGGTCTGCATCGGCGACATCTGAAAGACGGAACGTGTGCTGGGTTCGTGGTTCGTGGATGGCAGGTATGGTTTCCTCCTTCGGCGTCTTAGTCGTGGTGGGGTGCCAGATCTGGAGTTTGATGGCGTGTCCGGGGTGTTGCCTCGGTCTGATTCGTTCAACGGCAATGGCTTCACTTTTGGTGAGCCACCTTGGAGGTCTGCAAAGCTGCATATCAGCGATGGAGCCGCGTCGAGCTCGGGTGAGGAGGTGATCCGTCATTCTTTTTTTCGGTGGCTGCTGTGGTGGTGCGGAGGCAGGTGACCGGCGTTAGTGTCAAGCTCAGAGATGTTCTGCTATCTTTTCAGTTTTGTCATGTCGGTTCTTACGTGACTTGTACTTTGTTCTTTATGATATGAATGTGACACGTATTACCATGCAAAAAAAATATGACGGCGAAATATGTAGTGAAAAACGCTGATTCGACAAAAATCTAGAAACTTGCGACCCAATCCGTTGGATCTTTAACACATGGCGTAGATGAGAGCTGGGTTTGCTAACCAGCCACTTATGGCAATTTTTCATATAACCCCCTGTCTTACTCAAGGGGTAGGAAATCCTTCCCACAATTTCGCCTTATCCATTGTCGCCTTCCAGACCATGCCACTGCTTCCGTCCCCCACTGCGACGGCCCACGACGAGGCCTCCCCTACCGCGATGACCTACGGCGGAGACGAGCCGTTCCCCATTGCGACGACAGACGATGAAGCCATCTCCCACCATGGCGACCTTCAGAATATTTTGTCTGAATATTCATCAAAATAGCCATGGTGGAATTTTGTTTCGCAGTGCAAGAATCTTGTTTCTCATGGCATGTTGTTTGCTCCAGTTTAGTGCATAGAAGTGATGTTGAAATCATTGCGTGAATATTTTAGGACAACGCTAACACCCACACGTGTGGGGGAGCCAAACCCGTCCACACGCCCTATAACATACAGACTACGCCATGTCACCGCATGCATGCATGTGGAAATCTTTTTGGATTTTCAGTTTTTAAAATGTTTTATCTCTTAAATGAAAAATCCGATTGAAGATCTGTTTTCACCAATAAATCCCTCGCGGCGAGATCTTCGAAACTAGATCTCATATCAATATATTTCGATGATTTTTTTGGTTAAAAGTTACCATGTCTATTGCACACGAATTGCCATGATGTTTACACTACAGTTGCCATGTTATATTTCAGTTATTTTCTTCTATATTAAAAAGTAAATTTTGACATATCATAAAACGGAGAATTAAGAAACTAGACTTGCCATGCACCATAAACTAAAATTGTCATGATACATGCACTTAAAATTGTCATGGTTCATGCAAAAAAATATTTTCTTGGTCAAAATACTGAAATTGCCATCATCAAAAACTAAAATTGCCATGATCTACAAACTAAAATTGCCACATGCAACTTTAGTCTAAGCACCACGGCAACTACAGTGTAAACATCATGGCAACTTTTGGGCAAAAAAATTTTCGTCGAAACATATCAACATGGGGTCTAGTTTTAAAGATCTCGTCGAGACAGATTTAATGGTGAAAACGGATTTTTAATTCGCTTTTTTAATTAGGAGAAAAAACTTCAACACAACTCTAACAAACTCCACCTTGGCGAATATTCTCCACCACCTTGAATTCGTCAATGCGTCAAACTTTCATGTACATTGGACTTGAGCTTATCCCATGAGTACGGCTGCTACTCCAAAGACTCCATGTGACTCCACCTGCAACTTGTAGCCCCTCCTTTTCTTGACCATAGTCAACGTTCGAGCAAAATTAAACTCCAGTTACTCTAGTTTGTGCTCCCAACTTTCAAAGTATCCATTCAACACCATCACACACTCATCACTGACCTGCGTGAAAGCGAACAACTCAACATCACCACTCCTTTCTAGACCGCCTGTCTGAAACTTGTAAAAAATTCACCACTGCTTGTAATCATCCCGAGTCAAATTCGCAGTTGTCTCACCACATATATAACCACCAGAGCCCTGCCCATCTCCATGCCCTGTGCATACCGCACGCCTCGCCGCTATTACCGCGTCGAGCCTCTGCTGCCCGGCCGAGTCTCAAGGGTCACGAAACCCACACCACTCAACCCCACTTTAGTGTACCACCAATCATCATCGATCGATGACGAGATTCACTCTTCCGTCAGACCACTGGGCTCCAGTCCGAACTATGTGTCACTCGCTTTTTCCCGTTGTGGATCCTTACACCGTAGCCCCTCAATCCAGCTCCACCTTCAACATGACTCAATGGTAGATGATCTGTCCACCCTCGCGCCTTGTCGACTTCAAGCTTCGTGTGTACCATCTTGAATCAACCCCGCGCCAAAGTCTTGTTGAAGCCGCACAAGCCCTCGGGCTTGCGCAAGGTGTTTCCATGCCCAGAAGTCGGTCACCATCAACATCACGCTCCTATATCGTCATCGTCGATCCCACCACCGTCTTCTATACCACCCGACTTACGTCGATCTGTTAGACTAGCTTATCCGACCAAGCTGATCTTATTCGACTGCATGACACACTCAAGGCTTCCAAATCATCTTCAGTGAATTTCATCCATCACATTATAATTCTATCTTAGCTAACATGACTTACTGCAACGCCTTCAAGCATCTTTGTTGTGCCAACAAATCTTTCACCTTTGTCTGCAATAACCCAAGATTTTCAGTTCCACGAACTTCTCCACCTGAAACCTGGAACCCGCTGACGTCCTAATTCTTTGTATGCTGACCCTGTGAAAAACTATCTGAGCTTTCCACACGACGCTACTAGCAAAACCAACCAACTTGGTCTTCACGTGAGCAGCTCTTGTCTTGGCTTTAACTCCTGATGCTAAGCTAATTGATTTTGCCTTGCCAATGCATCCTTGCTAGTCCCCGATGGATGTATCAATGGATTTTTCCTTCGAAAGATTTGATCTACCTGTCTGTGTCACATGAGGACTCGGTCCTCTTTTTATCCAAAGAAAATCTCACGTAGGCTGCTCGGACTGCTCCTCCTATTGCTGTCTCCACCCGTCGTCTTGCTTGCGCTGCCACAACGGCAAGGCCCAGCCCGCATGCTGCCCGTGTCATGGAATGCTGCCACCTGGGAGCCACAACCCTTAGACAGCCCTGTCAGGGCCCTGACCGCCACTTCTGCCTGCGCTCGTGCGAGCTGCACACGTATGTCGCGACAACGATCCGATCTCGACGAGACTTCGTCCCAGAACACCCAGCCGCTAGCTTCGACTGCTACTCCCTTCGAGCGCTGCTTCTAGTGCAAATTACACGATCACGATCGTCAGCACCACCAACGGGAACAACAAGCCACCGAGATGCACCAGCCTCATCGAACCTTGCTCATGATTGGTCCCAATAAGGCCCACACGTATGGGCGTCAAGGGGTCTAGCCACACGTTTCATGTGGTTTCTAAAGAACCAGTTCACATGTCTACGTGTGGGCAAACACAAGTAATGCCCACACGTTCGGTCTTTTGCCTCGCGGCCCCTCCCACACGCCTACGTGTGGGCAAAATAGATAACGCCCACACGCCTGTACTCACGGTCCTGCATGCTTCGCGTGACAGTCACCACGCATCCCCGCAGTTGCCATGGTCCGAACCCTCTTTCATGTTCGTTTAACTGCAATTGCCATGTTGCTGAACTACAATTGCCATGTCTGACAACTACACTTGCCATGGTTGCTCAACTTCAGTTGCCATCTCAGGTCAAGTGCCATATGACATTTTTGGACAACTGCAGATGTTGCCATGTATGGTATGGTCTACTACAGTTGCGATGATTTGAAAACTTTAGAAGTTGCCACCTACTAACACTAGGCAGTTGAGGGAGTCCTGGATTAGGGGGTATCCGGACAACCAGACTATATACTTTGGCCGGACTGTTGGACCGTGAAGATACAAGACTCAAGACTTCGTCCCGTGTCCGGATGGGACTCTCCTTTGCGTGGAAGACAAGCTTGGCGATCCGGATATTAGATCTCCTTCTTTGTAATCGACTCTGTGTAAACCCTAGCCCTCTCCAGTGTCT